TTGGAAGCGATAGAAGAATAATTTTTTAACGGTGAAATACCTATTCTCTTCGCGCTCTTCTTGGTACATTTAAGTATAAAGGACAGGGAAATTATGCCTACGTAATGACAGCTACCAGGGAAAAATCGTCCAAGTCTAATTGGACAGCTTCGCTAGCCGAAGAGTAGCGTCGAATTATTGGAAGCGATAGAAGAATAATTTTTTAACGGTGAAATACCTATTCTCTTCGCGCTCTTCTTGGTACATTTAAGTATAAAGGACAGGGAAATTATGCCTACGTAATGACAGCTACCAGGGAAAAATCGTCCAAGTCTAATTGGACAGCTTCGCTAGCCGAAGAGTAGCGTCGAATTATTGGAAGCGATAGAAGAATAATTTTTTAACGGTGAAATACCTATTCTCTTCGCGCTCTTCTTGGTACATTTAAGTATAAAGGACAGGGAAATTATGCCTACGTAATGACAGCTACCAGGGAAAAATCGTCCAAGTCTAATTGGACAGCTTCGCTAGCCGAAGAGTAGCGTCGAATTATTGGAAGCGATAGAAGAATAATTTTTTAACGGTGAAATACCTATTCTCTTCGCGCTCTTCTTGGTACATTTAAGTATAAAGGACAGGGAAATTATGCCTACGTAATGACAGCTACCAGGGAAAAATCGTCCAAGTCTAATTGGACAGCTTCGCTAGCCGAAGAGTAGCGTCGAATTATTGGAAGCGATAGAAGAATAATTTTTTAACGGTGAAATACCTATTCTCTTCGCGCTCTTCTTGGTACATTTAAGTATAAAGGACAGGGAAATTATGCCTACGTAATGACAGCTACCAGGGAAAAATCGTCCAAGTCTAATTGGACAGCTTCGCTAGCCGAAGAGTAGCGTCGAATTATTGGAAGCGATAGAAGAATAATTTTTTAACGGTGAAATACCTATTCTCTTCGCGCTCTTCTTGGTACATTTAAGTATAAAGGACAGGGAAATTATGCCTACGTAATGACAGCTACCAGGGAAAAATCGTCCAAGTCTAATTGGACAGCTTCGCTAGCCGAAGAGTAGCGTCGAATTATTGGAAGCGATAGAAGAATAATTTTTTAACGGTGAAATACCTATTCTCTTCGCGCTCTTCTTGGTACATTTAAGTATAAAGGACAGGGAAATTATGCCTACGTAATGACAGCTACCAGGGAAAAATCGTCCAAGTCTAATTGGACAGCTTCGCTAGCCGAAGAGTAGCGTCGAATTATTGGAAGCGATAGAAGAATAATTTTTTAACGGTGAAATACCTATTCTCTTCGCGCTCTTCTTGGTACATTTAAGTATAAAGGACAGGGAAATTATGCCTACGTAATGACAGCTACCAGGGAAAAATCGTCCAAGTCTAATTGGACAGCTTCGCTAGCCGAAGAGTAGCGTCGAATTATTGGAAGCGATAGAAGAATAATTTTTTAACGGTGAAATACCTATTCTCTTCGCGCTCTTCTTGGTACATTTAAGTATAAAGGACAGGGAAATTATGCCTACGTAATGACAGCTACCAGGGAAAAATCGTCCAAGTCTAATTGGACAGCTTCGCTAGCCGAAGAGTAGCGTCGAATTATTGGAAGCGATAGAAGAATAATTTTTTAACGGTGAAATACCTATTTTCTTCGCGCTCTTCTTGGTACATTTAAGTATAAAGGACAGGGAAATTATGCCTATGTAATGACAGCTACCAGGAATAATCACGTATAATTTGGCAAGTTCGCGAATTATTCGAAGCGATCGAAGAATAATTTCTTAACGGTGGAATACATACTTTCTTCGCGTTCTTCTTGGTATATTTGGGAATAAAGAACGGGGAGATTATGACTATATATTGACAGCTACCAGGAATAATCATGAATAATTTGGCAAGTTCGCAAATCGAAGAGTATCCATTCATCATATATATTTCAGTATCCACCATCGAATTATTCGTGACGATCGAAGAAGAATTTTTTAACAGAGGAACTTTCTTCTTTACTTTCTTCTTGGTATGGTATCTGAGAACGAAGGACACAGAGAGTATACCTATGTATTGACAGCTACCAGGAATAATAAATCGAATTCTTAATTTATAAGGTGATACGATTATCGGATGGAAATATCACTGGTAAAGGCCGAAGAATGAAGAAATCGTGGACGGATCTAATCTCACGATACAATATCCGCGTGTTGACCACATCTAAAAATACATGCACGTGTAACAACAAAATTTCGTCAGATGGTGACATCGAATCGAACCGATGGAATCCGATCGCGCAATACCGGCCTTCCTTCACCCACATCTGGATGCCGCGTGCTCGTTCCCGAACAACGATCCGCGATATCATAACGCAGACTTTCTCCGCTATTCGTACACGTCTTGGATTTTAGAGCGTGAATAACTTCGATATCCTCGTAGTAATGATATTCTTCTGGATACTCTTCTCTGGACTCCACGCGATACTCGACTCGAGTTGTGCAAAAATCTCCAATCTCGAGTTGAAGATAGAATCAATCTAATTTCGTGAATTCTTAATTATTATTTCCTTATTAACACCTAAGAAGAATTACCTAAATATCTAATTTTTGGAAGAAGAAGGGAAAAATTATGGCAATTCGAAATTACAATACATGACCAATATTTCAAAGTGATAATTTTATCATACAAAAATACCAAACAAATTATAAAAATTTGCAAGAAAATTATCTCTCGAACCTAGAAAGAAAATTCAAGAAAAATTGGCAAACTTAAAAATCGCAATTCTATCAAACAAAGGTACCAGGGAAGTATAAAAATTCGCAAGAAAATTGCCTGTCAAGCCTAAGAAGAGAACAAAAGAAAAATTGGCAAAATTTAAAAATCCCAATTCTATTGTACAAAAGTACTATAGAAATTATAAAAATTCACAAGAAAATTGCCCCTCGATCCTAAAAAGAAAATGTAAGAAAAATTACCAAATTTAAAAATCGAAATTCTATCATCATACAAAAGTACCAAAGACACGACAAAAATTCGCAAGAAACTTGGCTCTTAAATCAAAAAGAGAACAAAGGAAAAACAGCAAAATTAAAAAATTGTAATTCTATCATACAAAAGTACCAAGGAAATAAAAATTCGCAAAAAAATTAGCTCTCGAACGTAAAAGAAGAAAAAGGAAAAATTATTACCAAAATCTTCAATCGCAATTCCATCGCAGAAAAGTACCACGGAAGAAATAATTCTATATAAAAATTCCGAAGCTCGATGAATGCGATTTGAAAGGGAACCGGACAAAAGGCCACCCCTCGAAGACGGGGAAAAGGAGAGGAGAAAAAAGACGCGAAGTGGAGCTCTCCTCGGGGCTCGTTCGAGCATACGACGATCAGGTGGAAACGAATCGCCGGGCGATCGAGTCGAGGGGGTGGAAAAAATGTAATTATCGAGTCGGCGAAGAGTGGCCCACGAACTAATGGCCGCGGGGGGTGGCGGTGCTTTCTGGCCAGATGCTCCTGTTTTAAGGGTGTCTCTCGAGATACAAGGGTTCGACATTAACGCGAGTCTTCTGTCGGTGAAGGGGGTTGGAGACAAAGCGAACGACCGGACAGAACTTGCTTCGTACAAGTTGGACCGTGCAAACCACCGTCAGGGGGTGAGTCGAGACGGTGGCTAGCATGATCGCGGCTGGGGGAAGCTAGCGCTAACTATAATGGAATAATTTGTCCGTAGTAACCAGTGGAAGCTCGCCTAAAGGATTTTCAAGCTCGATCGTGGAAAATGTGGAATTTTTGAATAAATCCGAGGGTGTGATTAAATAACTGAAAATAGGGGTAGTTTATCGGCAAAGACTTTAGCAGAATATCACTCTGAGCGATTAAAATATTATTTACTTTTTATACAAATAATTTTCCTACATTTTAATTTTTAATGTTGCAATTAATTTTGCTACATTTCTGAATTTCCCACCCTCTAAATTAACGTTATCGCGGAAATATAAAAATATAAATATAAAATTGAAGAATAAGAAGAAATAGCAAACACCGTGCAAACCACCGACAAGGGGTGATAGTCGAGACGGTGGCTAGCATGATCGCGGCTGGGGGAAGCTAGCGCTAACTATAATGGAATAATTTGTCCGTAGTAACCAGTGGAAGTTCGCCCAAAGGATTTTCAAGCGGAATTATGGAAAATGTGGAATTTTGGAATAAATCTGAGGTTGTGATTAACACTAGGTTTGCGGACGCTATCTGTATACCAATTTCTAAAGACACCTGTCAAATTGACAGGTAAAGAAAACCACGTGTCTTTTTTTTACAATTAATTTAATTTAAAAACAATTACAATATTAATAGTCTTAATATAAGTTAACTAAATCTGTTACCATCTTATAATTGGAGCAATCCTTCAAATTGACGGGTTCCGTAAATCTAGTGTTAAACAGCTGAAAAGAGGGGTAGCTCAATCGGCAAGAATTTTGGCAGAATATCACTCTGAGCGATTAAAATATTATTTACCTTTTTGTAAATAATTTTTCTATATTTTAATTTTTAATATTACAATTAATTTTTCTATATTTCTAAATTTTCCACCCTCTAAATTAACGTTATCGCGGAAATATAAAATTATACATATAAAATTGCAGAATAAGAAGAAATAAAGTGGAGTCGTAAAAATGCCGAGTTTAAAACAGAGCTGCTACTTAAAAAGTTTGATAATCAACGAGACGACAATTTAGTGGTCGAACCTGTGTTTTAATTCTCGTTACATGAAATCAGCGAGTTTCTTCAAATTGAAAATCACCGGCTTCCATTGTAATTCGTTAGCGAATATGAAATTATCGAATTATCTCTGTCCAGCCGAGAGTCATTATTATCTACAACTTCTCGTTAAAGACGGGAGATATATAAGGAAAGGATCGATCGATGATGTCCTGAGCTGCTCGTCATCGAAAGACGAGTTCGATTTATTTCTCGCTTTGTCTTCATCATTCGCTCGTTCGGTCTCTTTTAACAAAGAATTCGAATATGTATGTCAAACAATTATTTCTCATTACGCTGCTCGCGTTCGTCGTGTTAAGACCAGTGGCAAGTGTAAGCTCCTTTGATTTTTCATAATAAAAATTTTCATTTTCCAGTGGCGTGAAAATTTGACTCGACGGAATATTGAACATCGAATAGAAAAATTTATTTCACAAAATAACAAAAATTCCGCGTAAACCGTGCCTCGCTCGAGATCTTAGGGTAACGTGTCGTACATTCGTCTAAGCATAACAAATTCTATTTACGTTTTACGAAATATCAGAGTCGCGACGAATGGAAAATAAATAACGATAAAATTAAAAATATTTACCAATTAATGAATCACAGGTGAGCCTCGAACAGATGGAGAAAATGGCGATGAACTTGCGAAAGTCGTGCTTGAAAAAGATCGACACGACAGAAGGTGAGTAAAAGGATCATATGGAATCGATGGAAACTGTTCTTGGCTAAATTCAGACATTTATTTTGCAAAAATACACAGCATTGGTGGATGGGTTCAGACGCGGTGAATTCCCTGACGACTACAACCTCATGTGCTATACGACCTGTATCATGAAGTTATTACGAACTGTGAATATGACTAGAAATAATATGTGAAATTTCGAAATTATCTGTCGAATGATCGATTAATTCGCCCCGTTCGACGCGTGTTCGTCTAGTTTAAAAATGAAAAAATGGATTTCGACATGATGATTAAACAAGTGGAGCTCAGCATGCCACCGGAAAATCTACCTTCCGTAATTGATGCCATAAACAAGTGCCGTCACGTAGGTAAGGGTAATTAGACATTTTAATATTTGTTCGTCGATTAACAATTAAGAACAATTAACAACGAAACACAGCTAATTAGAAATTATTAAGATACTAAATCACGCAATTACTTGGTACTTATACTATACACTGCACTTCGGGATTTGTTTATTAAATAATCTAGGTATTAATTTTATTGAAATAATGTAAGCTATATTTGAAAAGTTTCTCGGATGGAACCAGATAAATTAATATAAATGTCAAGTCAGTTTTTACTCTCAGTTTCGTTATATGAGGATTTAAATACGTATCATAGTAGCATCCGAAAATTCGAGTCTTGTAATATTTTTTGAACAAAATACAGGGTGTCCCAAAATTCGAATGAATATAAAGTGTCAAAAAATTTCAAGATTTGAATATTGAGCCATTTGTGTGGTAAAGTGTTGACAAGAGGGAAAATAGACACCGTGACAGCTGTCAGTTCAGGGTTATTAAAAATGGAGCGATTTTCATTCTTGAGGAATATTTACAATTTTTAATTAAAAGCCTGTGTTTTCTATCAAAATTACTTCCTGCGTGTATTTTTCGTCACCCAATACTAATCTCTATAATTAATATAATTAATTAGAAAATTGACCACGCAGAGACTCGAATTTCGGATGTAAATTCGTTCCGTTTAGGAACTTTTTAGACACAAGCCTTGCTGGAAATTAGAATTTTCCCTAAAACTATAAATTCTCGCCAATTATACGCAGAATACACCGGCGACGAGTGCCAGAAAACGTATCAGTTTGTGCAATGCTACTACAAGCAGGATCCTACATACTTTGCATTCCCATGAAAAACGGAATTCGCACGCCTAATTAAAGAAACAATCGACAATGTAGAAACATCTTATATATTTTGAGCAATAAACATCTGAAATCGAGTGGAATTTTACGTAAATTCTTGTGAGCCTCGAGAAAACGAAACCTAACTTAGAATGACTCAAATTTAAAAATTATTTTAACCATTCACAACGCCACGTAACATAGAACTCGCACTCGTATCTTATTTTATTTCTTCGTCACTGTATCATCGTTCATTGCCAATCACTCACAGTAATTACAATAAAAAATACAATTTCTCAGCAAACAAAATCCCAGTTATAACCAGTTAACACGTTGACTGGCATGGTGGCCACGAGTGACCGACGATACTAATTTTTTAAAGTCACATTTCTTTCGTTCTGACCAATTTTGGAATATTCGAACAACGAAATTAAATAAAGATTCTTTCAATAGAAAATATTAATAATTTGCTACATTTGCTACACACGGGGCTATATAGAAAACAATCATTTCTGTCAATAAGGGAAACGCAATGACATCAGAATAGGTTAGCGAAGATTGATGAGGATTCGGTCCTACGTTTTCCTCGGTGGACTTCTCTGCAGTGCATAGTATGTTTTCTCTTCGCCAATCTAGATTCTCTCCACGACACAACATTCCACATATAACCACCTAAGTGCCCCATAAGTTCTCCATCCCTTCCTCAACCACTCCAAAAATCACTCGACTGATAGCTTCCTTCCCGCGAAGAGTCAAAGAAAATTATCGTACTGTCAAAAACAACAGTCACAGGATACCTATTTTCCCACAATAATGATTAAATGGACAACGTAATCCATTACGTGGCGGCGTCACTCCTCCCTTTCCGGCTTGCAGTTAACCTCTGAGGATCGTGCACGAAAAGTGGAGGTTTGCAGATTAATTATTAACCAAAGCGGTAATCACGGGCCGGGCCTTGTGTCATGGCTACGAGACGCAAAAATTCTTCTTTCTCCTACCGCCACGGGTAACGCGCTATAAAAGAGGATGTTCAGTCGTGTCGCGTTCGATTTACCGCGGCCATTACAGAGGGAACTGCATCCGCCATTTTGTTGGCGTCCGAAACACCGAGAAGCTAGCTCGCCTGGTACCAAGCCCCGGGTAAGGAGAACGACCGAAGGGCACACGATGAAGGGACTTAACGTCCTCCTGCTGATCGCGTTGCTGCTCGTCCTGCTGGCGATCGAGGACACCGAGAGCGTGAGTTGATCGAACCTTACCCCGTTTTCGCAACTGAAATTCGCCATTCGTACACGTACGCACTTTCCCGTGTGCAGAAAAAGATGACCATCGAGGAGGCCAAGAAAACCCTGAAGAACATGAGGAAATCGTGCAGCAAGAAGACCGACGCTCCTAAAGGTACTTTCCTCGGAGGGGTCTCCTGGTCGAGATGAGAACTTTTCGAGATCGTACGAACCAGTGATGTCGAAATCGAACGGGGACATGGGCCACGAAGCGCAGTTTTAGTCTGCGAGTCGGAGACGAGAAATTTATTCGTTAAAGAAAACTTAGCGAACGAGATAAGATCGTTTAAGTATATCTGAAAAATAGTTCTCTTTCTTTTTAAAGATTCTGCTTTATTCTTCGTTCGAGTAAACTTAGCTTAAAGGCAAATCGCGAGCCGCGCGTTTGACGTTACTGGTGTAAAGTAACCACTATTTGGTACCAATTGGTACTTCGCTGAGAGATAGTTGGATATCGATTTCGACGAAATTCCGTGGGTAAATGAGAAGACTATTTTCAAATCTTTTCTTTGGGACAAAATTTAGTCGAAATCGTATGTTAACCTAACTTTATTCGGGAATGTACTCTGAATACCAAATATCTTCTGGAATACGGTACTAATTCCTACATGGTTTGCGTACAGAGCTTTTAGATGGGCAGCATAGAGGCGAATTCCCACCTGACGAGAGGCTAATGTGCTATATGAAATGCATCATGATATCGAGTAAAGCGGTGAATAGAATTTTCCAATTCTTTTCCTAATTTTTTCTTTTCGTTTTTTAGTTCAATTTAATTATATCATACTTCGCAATAATAAACGTGCTACATGAAATGCATCATGGTATCAACAAGTAAAGCGGTGAATAGAATTTTCCAATTATTTTCCAATTATTTTCTTTTCGTTTCTTTTCCGATTTAGTTATATCACATTTCGCAATACTAAATGTGCTACATAAAATGCATCGTGATATCGAATAAAGCGGTGAATAAAATTTTTCAATTATTTTCCAATTTTTTTCTTTTTCGTTTCTCTTTTTTTTTCGATTTAGTTGCATTATATTTCGCAATAATAAATGTTATTCTTTGAGACGGTTAATGGGAAAGGAGACACGTTTGTTCCCAGATGAAGAACGACCAAATCCAGTGGGACTTCTTCATAAAGAACACGAAAATCTTATTGCTCGACGAATATCTGCCACGCGTTGAGCACATAGTCGAAGTGTGCAAGAAAGAAGGCAAGTAGTCCCGTGTATTAATTACACGAAAATACTCGCGAATCGTGATTCACGATCCTTTGTACAATTATAGTGACAGCAACGGAGAGCTGCGAGGTCGCGTGGCAATTTGGCAAATGTATCTATGCAACGGACCCGGAGGTGATTTTTAAAAACGATTTCATCGAAAACGACACTTTGGGTGCAGTAACTTCGTAACAATCATCTTAACTCGATTTCCCTCAAACCGGTAAAACGTGGCCTTGAAATTACGCGAAACCCAGCAAAGTTCCATTCCATTCGAACGCTCCTGTTGAAATTTCGCGTAAGATCTGTGTGCAATTTTACTCTGCCAAGGATTAACCTCTGCAAATCTCTGTCTTTATAGAGTTTCGTTTTTTCGTGGTAAGAAATAACGAGGAAACGTAGTGTATTTCGTAACTTTGTATCGTGGGTAGTAATTTACAGACCGGTACGATCCTAATTGTTGTAGCATCTTCGAAATCGCATTAAGTATCAGTCATTATTAAAAATTCCTGACAAATCAGATCCCTGTAATTGTCAGTGATCATCGGACATGTTCAATTTGCCAAATGACTTCTAATACTTGTGAAATCTGCTACAGCTCTACGTAACCCCGTGAAGAACACGTTAATGGCGGACTCGCGAGACCATCGACGAAGCAGGAGGAATATCGAATCGCATGCACGTCGCCATCTTCGTCGTCGTCGTCGTCGTCGTAGTCGTCGAAAAGCAGCCACGGCAGTGTGCAGAAATTCACGGACCAAACCGCAGTGCAGAAGAGTGTAAGGGAAACTATCGCCGACGTCTCATTTAATGACCGATCATCGATCAATGATAATTAAGAAACGGAAATTGATTACGAAACGGAAATTATTATGATTTTATCATGGGTCTAGGAACGGACTGATGGACGGATTCCTCCAAATTCAAAAGCTAGCTTTTGAATTAGACTAGTTCCTAAACGCTATGATAGCATGAAAATGTATAATGTATGTAAGATAATATAAATAATTCTAGTATTATGCAAATTGAGCACATTCTTCTCCGATATCACATCCTATGGTATTCCTATAATCGACTAGTCTGACGTACGAATCCACGAAGAACTGCGCGTTCCTGTAATTATCTTTTGAAAATTATATATTTCTCATTTTATATACAGTATATTCAAAGACTTCCTCAATTTTTTAACATTCCTGTTGCTCATTGTAATTACCAATGAATATGTCTGTAATTATAAATCTGTAATTATTCCTGAAATTATATTTTTCTATTTCATCCAACGCCATTGCAATTTTACAAGTCATTACCATAAGTGTTCATTTCTGTGTTAATTCTACGGATAATTTTTGTACGTTTGTTAATAAATAATATTCCAAACCCATTTCTACCACTGTCCGAATTTTCACGCAGCTTTTCGCGAAAGCTGCCAATAGTATTCCATACCCATGATGTGTGAATATTCAAAAATTTTCTATTCTCACGGAGAATTAATTTAAAAAGATATTAGTCAGCTGCATGATTCTTCCTTTATGTAACATTGTCGTACAATTGTCCACGAATCCAATTATATTTATTAAAAGCCACGTTTGCCTTTGAATTAAAGGAAGACAATTACAATTAAGAAATTACTCCGGCGATGCATGCGGAAAATAATCGTGGCCGCGTAATAATCAACGTTGCGGAGAAAAATACGATGATCTTCGATTATCAGTTAGTAAAGAGGGGGATGAAACATCGCCCCGATTTTACAACTTTATGATATCGCATCGGCGAGATTTATCTGCAGCGCTCGCAGCCATGCAGTCTCATTCGGCCAGACAAATTTATAGTCCATTGGTAGGATCGATTAAATATTTTGATCGGCCAACGATGAGACCGGTTTCCGCGGATTAAACTCACTCCTATCGCGGCCACGGTAACGTTGAAATTAATTCCAAGCCATTCGTCATCGGCCCTTAATCAACGGAAAAACTTATTCCGGTTCTAACGTCGAACTGGTTAGCGATACTCCCATCTGCACCTCGATTTAAGGGAACTTAATCCCTCGAACGGGTCCCATTAGCGTTAAACGATGGCCTAATCGATGTAGAAAATAGTGATCGAACGAATTTTCAGTGCTCGATTAATTACAGAATTTTATTCGGTTATAAAAGGGGCCACATAACTATCGGCCCTGGAATGGAGGATGGAACAAATCAACCAAGTTCCTACGCACTCTCCAGGCTTAAAATTATAACACCATGTCGTTCTGTAAGATCACAGAGATTATAACAGTCTAATCATTTAAAAATCGCGATAGGAAAATGGCAAAAGGGAAGGAGCAGAGATAGAAGAAGATAGACATTGACGACTTGAAATGACCATAACTTTGAAACCAACCAATGAAATTTAAAAATTCAAATGCCATTTTGTAGACGAAAATCGATACTTTTATTCCACTTCGAAAAAGAATATAGAAAAGATGAATTAATGATCGTAATTATTTAAAAATCGCGATAGGAAAATGGCAAAAGGGAAGGAGCAGAGATAGAAGAAGATAGACATTGACGACTTGAAATGACCATAACTTTGAAACCAACCAATGAAATTTAAAAATTCAAACGCCATTTTGTAGACGAAAATCGATACTTTTATTCCACTTCGAAAAAGTATATAGAAAAGATGAATTAATGATCGTAATTATTTAAAAATCGCGATAGGAAAATGGCAAAAGGGAAGGAGCAGAGATAGAAGAAGATAGACATTGACGACTTGAAATGACCATAACTTTGAAACCAACCAATGAAATTTAAAAATTCAAACGCCATTTTGTAGACGAAAATCGATACTTTTATTCCACTTCGAAAAAGTATATAGAAAAGATGAATTAATAATAGTAAAAAAATAAGAAGAAGGGGAAGATGGGAATGTGTATATTCAGAAATAATGCATACCTACCCTAACTAGCCAATAGCGCAGAAAATACTATCAACGATATTATCAACAAGAATAATAAATATTTTGTTTCTTCCTGTAAACGTTAATTTGTTCGTAGAATAATTTAAAAATGGAAAATAATTTCCCGATGGCAGAAGTTCCATCTGAAGAAAACACTTTAGTTCCTGCAGGCTTCCAAGAACGGTATTGCAATAATTACAGACGATAACGAGGCTGAAATGGAACAGAGTAATTAGCCAGTTAATTGATGCCGTCCATTTGAATTCTGATTCACCTTTTCGCCGCAAAAATATGTCTAAAAAAAGCAGAAATCATTCCCACGCCGACGCATTGCATGCTAATGCAAAAGGTGTCAGCGAAGGCCTGAATAAATCGCGTCCGATCGCACTTATCGATCTTTGAGCTTCGCGAGTTTCGTTTACGAGTGATGAAGAGCAGATCTTAATCATCCGGCGACAATTATCCTTCATGGCCTAACGAGCAAGGCTTATTTTCCTGCTGCACGTTAGAGCAATCAAGGGTTATCGTTTCTCGCGTGGATAAGCCAGAAATCGGTCGTCTTTTAGCTGATTTTTATCAAAATAGTTACATAAAGCGCAATTATGTCTCTTCCTGCTATTTCGTAATGAGATCTTAACGCCTCGCGAGATTGGACACATATTTGCACCACCGTTGTATAAATATGACGTTCACGCGTCGACAGCCATCAGTCAAGTATCTTCGTTTCTGTGAGATTTTCTGTGGTAAAACAGCAAGATGAACGCTCTTTTGGGAATGTGCTGTGCCTTCCTGCTCGTGGTGAGTCGGACGACGTGTTCCTTAATTTCGCATTCGTTCGACACACGATTGCGATCTAGAAGATTCATGGAAGAATGGTACAAGTGCGAGTTTATGGGAGAAGGAGATAAGTACTCGCAGGAAACGAGACGTAAGACCCGTGTTCAGTCAGAGGATTTCTTTGCAAATTTGTATGCATTCGCGAACATATATATTAACGCATTCTTTATTTTATTTGATACAGGAAGATTTGCTTTATGAAATTAGTATCACGTTACCGTGCAGAATTTGCGAAATTTGCATAATTTGTAATAAATTATTCATAGATATGAGGAGCAAGACAAAGTTCGTCATTTGCGCCATTTTTGTCTGAAATCTATTTTGATTTCACTCCTATATGTTATATTTTTACTCGATTCGATTATTCGATTATTTACGGCCCCCTTGACTCAGATACTTGGGTCTCGATAAGAATATGAAATTAAAGAATATTTTGTTCTAAGTTAAATTTATCAAACGACTTTAATCGCAATTAAAATTCGAATGGATATTAGAAACTATTTTTAAGGAACCCCGTTATGAATTTTGGAAATGAGATTTCTCATAGATTCGATGTTTCAATATTTTTTAAGAACAGTGAAAGGAAAAATGGGAAAGGAAAATGGAGGATCGAAAGATTCGGATTAAATGCACAAATATGTAACGATAAAATATATATGTGTAACAAATTTTAGGGAGTGGCATATGCAAAAATGGATGACGAGGTGAAGGAAGTTTTGAAGCCGTTCGTAGAGTCTTGCGTCGAAGAACAGAATATTTCGCCGTGTAATTATACATAATAATTACATCTAGAATTATTCGATTCTCTTCTAACGCGATATTAAAACGATCTGTCTATTTTTCAGCGGATATGGAGAATTTCGAAAATCATGATATAGAAGGTGAGGAGAGGAAGAAATTGGGATGCCTGAAAGCTTGCGTGATGAAGCGTATGAATACGGTAAGTAATCCTGCCTATCTTCTTTGCAATTATTTTTCAATTATACAACAAAATAATCCGATTTATTTAGATCTAATCGAGAATAAATAGAAAAAGAAAGCGAAATTATTTTGAGGGTATATTATTATTTATTATACCTCTTATTATATATTCTATCATTCCCAATTTTATAAAATTCCTATTATTAATCATTTTCTATTAAAATAATATTCTATAAAATTCCTATTATTGATAACTTTTTATTAAAATAATATTATATAACATTCCTATTAAAATAATTAATCGTCGAAATATGTTGTCCGATAAAACGGTGGTTATTTTTAGTTGGTGGATGGGAAACCGGTACCAGAGAACATGCAAGAGTTCTTGGACACGGCAATGGCAAAGACACCAGAAAAGATACCAGATGCAATGGAGAAAGCTTACCGATGTGCAGAAGAGGGTGAGTAGCAAATTGGACTAGACAGAAACGAAACCATTCCTTCGTCGAATTCGGACTGCTAATTGATTCGGCACTGATTAATTTCAGTTAAGGACATAGCCGACGAGTGCGAGCTCGCGTTCGACATAACGCGCTGCCTCGCAGAGTAATTCCGATTACCCTGCCGATTTCTCAGGTAAAAAGCAATCTGACCTATGCGACAGAGAGGTAAATAAAATACGGTGCAATTGTAAGGATACGAAATAAAAGGCAATGTATTGAATGTTAAACATTGAAACGCCGAAGAAATTACTTTTAACCCTGTCACTCCTGCAGACGTATAACGTCACGCTACAACATGGCTGCCGGACTGCGAACGTGATACAACGTCCACGAATTTCAAAGCTGTTAGAGCTTAGAAAATTCTTTCTGAACGCAATCCAACTGTTCTGACTTATCATGTCATCTTTTAGGATAAGAGAGAGAATTTTTTCAATACAATCCCTGCATTATTCTGCCCCCTGTCAAAAATATCGCGAGACTATGCATTTCACGTCTGCATGCACATCATAAATCTCAGTTTGGACAGCCCTAATTTTCTAAATATTTGCTGTCTAGAACAATACGTAAAATATTAAATTTATAATATATAATAATAAACAAAGAAATTTGCTTGGTGGTATTTTCTCAGTGTAAATAAATAAAATATTTAACGACTTCTGAACTTCCGTATTCATCTTTATCTCCTCAGGTAAGCTTATAACGCACGATATTATATTTTGATTAAGTCTTTATCAGATTTAAACAAAAATAAAATTTGTTAAATTAATTCGGGACAGGGAGTTTGCTACTCTCTTTGTAACTCAGGAGTGAGAAGACTATATATCACCCTTCACGACTAGGATACTTATTCCTCGCTTTCCAAATCCAATCGAATCAACGAAATATTCGATCTACAATCGTATGTACTGTGATAATGTTATTTGTAGACGATCAAGAAGACTTATCTCGACAAACATCTTCACACGAATAATATACATTCCGTGTGTCAGATATATTGCATGAAGAGAACATGCTTTATTTCTGCTCTCTTGACTTGTGCACAAAAAGACCGCATGAATTCGAATAAAAATGAAGGCAGAAGCTTCGTCGTGTGTAACAAGTATGATTTAATTGTCGTAAAATTATCGGTAATTAGCAAACATTATCTCCAACTAATTTCGCCACAAGCGAATATACTCGGAATCATTTAATTCGCTTTTTTTCTCGTCAGCGTCGAGAGGCATACGAGTAGTTACTGACAAACAGATCACCGGAGAGAGATATAGATGACAACTAATAATTCTTACTTCAACCAATAATTACTGGAGAAACATTTTTCAATCGGGATGCAAGATATCCGAAACAACCTGACACAGACTTTTTGCCATCGTATTTGCAATATAAATATGGGCAGTATTGGCCAACGAAACGCAGTCGTCGAGGTATATCTTCATTTTACGGAACGAGCTTCACTGTTTGTCAAAGAACAACTCCGAGATGAAGGATCTTCTGGTTACCGTCATCATTTTGCTAACGGTCGTAAGTGAACTGTTGATCGATTACTGTTGAATTTGTAATTCTCATCTCTCAATTCCCATCTGTTTGCGACTCGATTTATTATCACACTAACGTTCCTCCTCGCTGTGCATAAGTATCCCGGGATACCTTCCACGACTTGGACAAGCGTGGACACAGCTCTACACCTTGCGAGATATTTGCAATAATCTTCGAGGCAAATGCGATACTAGCAAGTTAAAAAGAAGAATTTTTACAAATTACATTGATAGAAGTTACTACATAGAGGATGATTTGTCCGTCAAGAGTTCTCGATTAAGGTCTGTTCGTTCTTCAGGCAGCTGCTCGCGCGGACTTCAAGAGCAGATACATAGATGGAGTGAAGGACTCGATCGAACCCTGTGCGAAAGAAAATGGCCTAACTGGACGTTAGTATCGTAATTATACTCGGGTAATGAAAGAATAAGATAAGGGAAGAATTGGTAAAGTAACGAAGAAATATTCGAACACTTCAGAGAGCCCAGAAGATATATTTGACAAGGATTCAAGTACAGGAGTGGACCAACCTTCGTGTCTACGATCATGCATATTAAAATCGAATGAACATGTAAGTGATCTGAAGTATAGTATACAAGAATAATAGGAAGAGACATTTCAAACAAAAGAAATAATATATATTTAAGATAAAAGATTCGAAGTTGAACGTTGAGGTTATAAACAAGTTCGTAAGCCACGTGTTCGCTGGGCAACCGGATGTGATCAAAACTCAGCAAGAAAACGTGGCAAAATGCATCGAAGAAGGTAACTCAGGTATAGCTGTATGTTGGAAAAGTATTTCCTCGTTCACACTGCTTCGTTCGTTTCAGTTAAAAACGTGCAGGAAGAGTGCAAGATGGCGTACTCTTTCATCCAGTGTATGATGGACAAGTTTTAGCAAGCTAAAGAAAACTTGGAAAATGATTTGATAACTATAATCTTTTATCATAGCGTTATGACGGAATTGTATGTAACAAAATACACCATAGTTTAGAGATGAATAAGTATAATCTTCCTTAGTTAGAAAAATTTCTCGATGAGACTCCATTCCTTTTTCTTTAGTGTAACCAAATTTCGTCATAATCACCTAATTCGTACATCTCCAGAAGAAATATTATCACCTCTAATACTACTTCAAATATCATGCTCTAAGAAGCTTTTAATCTCTTCTAATCAAACTTTTCAGAGCAGGACACCTCGCCATTTAATGGCAATTTTGACTCTCTTTTTATTTAAATTAAGTACCAAATTTTCCAATTTTTAACACGATCGAGAGATGTATAATAAGAAAGAGAAAACTACAGATCGTCATCTTACCTAGTTCATTATAAAAAAATTTTTAATGATTTATCTCTAGATCAGGTACATAATGGTTCTAGCCTGGAACCACCCCTTGATCTTTAACACCGGTATACCGGTGAAAGAAGTCATCGTGATAATTTTCCAAAAATCATTCTTGATTTCCCATCGAATCAGCCAGTACCGTGACACCGTATTTTCACCCCTTTTCATTTCCCTTCGACAAATCGGGCAAATAAATCATTGCCGAGGAAGCCGCTATCGCGTGGCGGGCATCTTCAATCTCCTTGGCTGTTGCACGATCGATTCTGAGAATGCGAGAAGGAGGAAGAAACAAACAAATCAGGCAATGGTCGATTGCACCGTCATTTCTAGCCCCTCGTTCGCCAGCCAGGGCCAACTCGCCGAGATTACAGTACACGGCGACGCTATTATTACAGGATGGCTCGTTCGATCCTATAATTTACACTGGACAGTGCACCTTCCATGATCATCGAACACACGACAAACAATCATTTTTTTGTGACAAATTTGACGCGTACCGCCGTTAATTAGACGTGTTTCGGCCGTTCCTCAGCCAGCCTTACGTAAATTCACGAGGATCGGCTAATTATCTTGTTTCCTGCTGTACGCCGTCATACCCTAACACCTGCTATTGTCCCAGCTGGTTACGAATATAAATAACGTCCCGAAGGATTCACTGTTACACACAGTGATACACCACAAAGGATACGTACGCCAGACGATCTTGTTCCAGGGAATTAAGTCTCGTTTCTATACATCGTCGCAAGATGAAGACCCTTTTGGCTGCTACTTGCCTGCTAGCCGCTGCGGTGAGTCTCGATTCTGTTCCTCGATTCTACTTCCCTTTCTTCAATTTCTCCATTTCTCCTCCCTTTTCGTTTTGACATATCAAGTCAGAAACGACGCATCCTTCTTATCCATATTTTATACAATGGAATAATAGAGTTTCTAGACAAATTAATTGTTACGAAGAATTTAATTTTGGGGAAATTTTCGAGGAGTATTCGATGAGAGATTTATAGATTCTTTAAAATATTAAATTCCTAATAACGTACCCTTCTTATCGAGATTTTGTAGGATAATAGAGCCGATTTTGGGGAACGGGAATTTTCATTATAGAGTATTAATAGCAAATTTTAGGAAAGCAGATTTGGATGCTCTGTACTTTAACGATTTTCTAAACCTTATTATTTCTGGGAAGAAAAATATGTGGAATGTAATATAAAGAAATTATGACAAAGTCTCGGGGAAAATAAAATTTCGTATAGATATTTCTTTGTTTACTTTCTAGAAGTGATTTGAAATCTAGGATTTTGTTTTTCCAAGATGACAGTTTGTTGGGTATGGTTGGGTAAAATCTTCGAATAAACGGTGTCTCTTCGTGGGATAGACTAGGCAAGAAGAAGAAGACATTGATTTATAAATTGAAAGATAATCGAGAATCTCCTTTGCAGACGCTCGTGCGCGGTATAGATCAGGACAACATTATGGCAAAGTACATGGAGTACTTGATGCCGGATATAAAACCATGCGCTGACGAGATGCACGTGACAGAAGGTGAAGACCCTTGCTTCGACTCCTCGAGATATATCTCAAAAGCCTCGGCTAGAATATGTCGCCTTTTTAAACATTTTATTTCGTAAAATTCATATGGGAAACCGAGGAAATTTATCCTTTGTTGCAACTATCGCGTTTCAGAGCAAGCAACGTATATCCAACAACCCAAGACCGAGACCGACATGAGGCAAATGGGTTGCATGAAAGCCTGCGTGATGAAGCGAATCCAGATAGTGAGTTTTGTCATTTAAATAATTAATTATGTACAACCGTGAGTCTCAACGTTTGCTCTTAATTTTCCTCGTCTAGCTGACAGGCACCGATCTCCACTTAGAGCCAATATACAAGATGATCGAGGTGGTGCACGCTGGTAACGATGACGATATCAAACTAGTGAAATCGATCGCAACCGAGTGTCAGGAAACTAGTGAGTTGCATACTTTATTCCTACTAGCGACTATATTAAAAAATCCCCGAATTCGAATTATTTCTGCTATTAGAGAGTCTAGGGAAAAATTATTACAACGATATCTCGTGACGTATCGTCGCGATAAAAATTCGAATTCTAATTATTTCTGTCACTAGAGAGTCTAGGGAAAAATTATTACAAACATATCTCGTGACGTATTGTCGCGATAAAAATTCGAATTCTAATTATTTCTGTCACTAGAGAGTCTAGGGAAAAATTATTACAACGATATCTCGTGACGTATCGTCGTGATAAAAATTCGACTTTGAATTTTTACGAACGTTCCTTTATCAGGAAAGGAAGGAAAAATATAGAATAGTATATTCCACACGAAATAATAATAAGAAAAATATTCTTTCTCCTCGCGCCTAAAAGCGTTCTAGAACAGATTGCTGTTATATATATTTGACACCGACTGTACCGACCAACGTAGGTTCTTCTTATTAATCATTTTTCGAATTCAGAGTATCCGCAATTTAAAGACGCGAGTTCGTAATAATAAAAAGATACCTAATACTCGTTCCTGGAACGTGGCGCAATTTTCATTGCCAATAACGTTCGTAGATACGTTATTTATTAACGCAACACCCGTTACTTGCCCTGTTACAGTCAAAGGAGAGACAGACGAGTGCAACATCGGCAACAAATACACCGATTGTTACGTACAGAAGCTTTTCACTTAATAATCCAGTCTACCAGAAGCGATTCGCCGAAGGCCGCAAACTTGTAATCACTCGAGTTACCACGTGTACTACGTTTAATAAAATGATGTAAGAGAGTATGACTCGCGCATCCTTCTCTTTCCGCCTTCATGAGTATTCATGCAGCCGATCCACGTCGTGCCTCCATTCCTTTTATCGCCGGTAACGCGACAGAATAACGAACAGACCTTCCCTGACGATCGTCTCAACGATCAGGACGTCCCCTGCAACCCTCAATCGCGATTTCCAACTGGAGGCTCTAGTAGCCTCTACGGCAGCTTCCGATCCGTCGATCGGCTGTCGAGGATCCATCTGTCAATCGTATTTAAGAAACACGTCGCGAATTCGACGCGGATCCGATGCAGATTCAACGACCGTGAAATATTGGTTGACACAGGATTGGCTGTCAATGGACTTTGCTTTGTTTCGAATAACTTGTATCGAGTTTGGGATTTGCATATAGTGACGTCATAGAAAAAGGTTTGAAGAGATGACAAGAAGCACCCGTTGACTCAGTTATGGGACAATTACAGTGATATAAAGAGTACGACGTTCTGCCAACTCTCGAACAGAGACTAAAGCGGATAATTAAGTATAGTTATGGAAGATCTCGCGAAGGTATAACACCATGAAATTGCACTGTGCAGAATGCTCTTTATTCGTGTCCTGGAGCGGATATATATATATATATATATGTGGGACTGTATGTAAAGGAAGGGGTACGTTTTGGAGAAATATTGGTTGACACAGGATTGGCTGTCAATGGACTTTGGTTTGTTTCGAGTAACTTTTATCGAGTTTGGAGTTTGCATATAGTGACGTCATAGAAAAAGGTTTGAAGAGATGAAAAGAGGCACCCGTTGACTCAGCCACGAGATAATTACGATGACATAAAGAGTACGACGTTCTGCCAATTCTCGAATAGACATTAATGCGGATAACTACGTACAGTTATGGAAAATCTTGCGAAGATATAACATTGTGGAGTTGCACTGTGCAGAATGCACTTTATTAGTGTCCCGGTGTGCATGTATATATGGGGGACTGTATGTTAGGGAAGGCCTATGTTTTGAGGAAATATTGGTTGACACAGGATTGGCTGTCAATGGACTTTGCTTTGTTTCGAATAACTTGTATCGAGTTTGGGGTTTGCATATAGTGACGTCATAGAAAAAGGTTCGAAGAGATGACAAGAGGCACCCGTTGACACAGGGTTGACTGTCATTAGTGCATTTCGGACGTTGACGATGATCAACGTCACAAGCGGTCCGTGCAACGACACTTGGCGATATCTCTCGATCCACGCTCGATCCAACTCGATCCAACTCGATCCATGTCGATCCACGGGGACACTGAGAGCGACTCGAACGAGGCTGTCGCATTCCCAACTTAGCATTCCGCCGGTTCGTTCGCGATTCCTTCGGAAATGTATCCGGCGTCTGTAATCGCTCGCAAAGCCGACCATTTGCAAAAGTGTCTTCGTGTCTTCCCTTACGTCGCGTAAGGTCGGCCGTAACTTTATTCCATCCTGTATGCCAGCCAACTTCGACCATTACGGGCTACATTATACCGCCTCACAACGTGAGCCGCTTACGTTAACGCGATGCTTGCCCGGCTTTGACTACGCAGTCTGTTGCGAGTCGAACGTGCAGAATTTTTGCAGATTACGAGCAACGAGAGGAGAGTAGCGAATTATCTTATCTCCTCTTCCGAGTGCGCTTTCCGTGATTCAACGATGCTCGATCATAGGCTTCGCTGGTGTTAATAGCGTGGACAAGGCGGTAATTGAAACAAGAAGAGCGATCTTGTATGACTGGTTCGTGGACTAGCTACGATTTTTTTTTACAGGAATTATGAAGCGACGGGGATAATGGACTGTCGATTATGGGGGCAGTAGATAGTTGACTAATCTGCTCGGACGAAGGGAATTTTCAATTGCGCGTGTCGAATTATTTTTACGAAATAATTAAACGATTTTTAAGTACGAAACTAAGGGGAGAAATGTATATATAGCCATCGTAATGCGATACACAATTCCCTTATTCGAGTAATTATTCGCGTGACTAAAATTCGCATAATCGACGTTGTATCTGCATCGAAATTTCTATTCTGAAAAATAACAAACGTATAGAATCGACACCATAAATTTCTCCTCTGGTTCTATTGACACACATAGACTAGCAATTATTGAAAATGTGAAATAACATTGTCCGCTGTGCTTTCGTGTATTATCTATAATATATCATCTGTATCGATAGGTTTATTATTACCTTTTTATAAATAAATAAATATAATTCACCTTTTCTTTAATTATTTCTTATTCCATTACTTTCTGTACTACTATACCACTACTATTACTACTACTACGTCTATTTATTACTGTATATTTCATTTTACTATTTTTATTGTATACCAAAGGACGTCTGTCCGTTAATGAAATTTTATTATTATTATTATTATACGAAATCTGGTATGTGTAGAGATAGTTGATCTACGTGTTCTGTCCAAAACCGATGGTTATCCAAGATAATATTTACGTACACCTGAGTTCCCCAAGGTAGTCCGAGATAAAGGGAAAGGAATAAATATAGGAATTTTTTCCCGTCATTAGCGATCATTAGAAACCCACGAGATTCCATTAGAAATCTTTTTCAAACACTCGAATCATCTCGTGTACACACGAGTCCTGTTGAACTCGATCGACTCGACGACGACCCGTCCATTAACCAATCCATCACAATTAACACACAAAAACCACGGAACTTTCGAAACTCCGTCCATCTATTTTTTCCTCTTATCTTAATTCACACTCCCGTCCTTTTAACGCTTACGGGGGGAAAAACGGAATTACCAGACCTCGATTCCACGTAATTACCATACGATTCAGAAGCTACGCGCGCTATGTCGCGTCTATATCTGTATATTTTCAGTGATAAAAGGAAAAAGGAGAAAATTACGAAAGAAGATTATCCGAGAAGACTACGAAAGAAAGAAACGTTAGGTCACTCCGCGAACGATAGCTTCTGCATCGATTTCCGAGCGTAAGTCGTGCACATCCTCGTGCACACGCGCTACGTACCGGGTGGCCGTGGAGTATCGACTCGACGCGTACGTACGTAACGGCCGTGTCTCGAGTGCAGATTAATTATTCAGAACGCGTTAACGCCGCCCTGTTTATTCATAAGCCGACTGCCACGGTGTCTGCACGAGTGACGGTGCCCCGAATCGCTTAATCTCGTTCTTATTAATGAAATTTCCGTGATCCGTTCTCGAAAACCACGTTGGGACGCAAAGATGCGAAAGGTCATCGAGTGCCCGAGGTTACAAGTATCCCATATAGAATAAGTATCCCAAAAGATACCTGAGTATCTTCCGATGAGGTCACAAGTATATACCTTCTTCGCTAAAAACAAAGAAGAAATGACGAGGAGAAATGAAGAAGATGAGAAATTTTTGAAAGTAATTTTTGGGAAATAAACGAAGTCGAGAATACGAGAGAAGATTAATGTTTCTGATACAGTTTTGGAAACTTCATTGGAAAAATTATTAGAAGATTAATCCTCGTCCTTTTTCCCTTGCGACGTAAAATTAGGAGAATTTATTTTTCTATCCGAGAGATTATCCGAGATTACGCGCTAGTGGTGGAATTATTATGAATATTTATCTTTCTGTCTACCTTCTTCTCCTCCAGACGTGCAATTAGGAAAATTCACTGTACACTGTAACGTCGGTTAGCCTCGCAGGATATCTAGTCTGGGCAGGAATATTAGAATTATCTTATTGCACGTGTGCTCATCGTCTTTTGTTTTGGACAGACTCGTAGTAAGAATGATTAAGGCCATTTTCCGCTTATCTACATCTTGCAACGGTGATTTAAATAAAATTAAGACACTGTTGAAGATTATTAAGCCATTATGTTTAACGACGTTCCGCCTCGCGTTATGTGTTATTTCGCGTGCTATTGTTGTTCCATTTTCGCTGAGCAATCCAATTTTCATACGTTTGTGCAAACAGTGCGCGTAGTTTTTATTAACATCCGACGCGTTTGTCAACCGAGTGCGACGCCACTGCGGTGACGCCGTGCGATTCGACAGGTTCACGTTTCTTATGCAGCGCACACGTTCGACTCAGTGACGATCTCGTTGCGACGACGTTGTGTAATTTGTTTTTGTTATACAATACACACGAGCACACTATGCTGCAACCATGCCGCAACGACGTGGTGTCAGCACATTTAATTGCATCGTTTATTTTCGTTGCTAATTCGTCGAAAAATTCTACAGATGTACGAAAGATAATTAAAAAATTGATTATTATTTCCATCTAACCGTATAAACATTATAGTAAATGCTACTTTCGAGCAACGTGCACTAACAAAATGATGCACCTTGTATTTTCTGCCCCTTGTTTCTATACAAAATATTTATACGTAAAACATGCAGGAATAATTTTATTTTTACATAGATGATCGTTGTGTTGCATTCTCTCGTGTATTTGCGATGTAACCACACGTTATGCTGTGATATATGGCGTATGCTACGGCAACGCAGGGCGCTACCACAGTGGCGTCGCATCTCTGCATCGTGGCCCGCGACAAATATAAGCAACAATGCCTCGCAATCCTTTGTCACAGTTTGCATACACCTTCGAAGAGACAGGTAGCACTCCTCGATTTTGCAAAGGATTTTGGAAGATTACGAGAAATCGACAGGATGAAGGGATACTTCGCGATTCTTTTCTGCGCCCTCTTCATCGTCACTGGCGTGAGTGTACTCAAAACTTCCTCTTCCCTCTGTATGTTTTTTTTTTTATGAAATATTTCTTTTCTTTCTTTTTCATTTTTTAGCTACAATATTCCCATTCCCTTCTCGAAAATAATCCGCAACTTTGATATTACGAAATGTCACGAATTAGATATACTATCTCTTTTTCTTCTCGTACGAATATCATTTTTGTCTGTTTAAAATTATTCCAATTGTTACTTGTTCCAGACATCCGGCCAAGCACTCACTATGATGGAATTCGCCAGGATTTTAAGCATTACAATGAAGGACATAAGGCGTTGCATACACCATAGCAATTTATCAGATAGTACGTAACGAGAAATAACTATCGCTATTTCTTCGTCTAATTTTGAAACAGTTTTAAAAATTTTACCGATATTCGTCTTCCTTTTCTTTTATCTTTCAATCCTATTCTATCAACGACAGAAATGTTTAATAATAATAAATAATTATTATCCATCGACTGTCCATAAAATAAAATTAAATAATAATTCTGTCCGTAAATAAAATAAAATAGATGCATTACGGTAATTTTCTATAATTCTGACAATAACCACAGTGGACATGACAAAGCTGGACACCGTCATGCAGGGACGGAATATATCTCAAGAAACCATGAACGATATCTTGATAAACCTCGGTTGCTTCGCTGCGTGCATTCTGGATAAATCCGACATCGTAAGTCTTTATTCCTCGATTAATCAACGACACGTCAATTTTCTTCCACGTTGATGCTAAAAACTCATCGTTTCAGATGCAAAACGATGCCATCCAATTGGACAAGCTGATAGACTCAGTGAACCGCCATAATGTCCCTATAAACGACGAAATGAAGGAAAAGTTGAACACGTGCGCCGTCCAGGGTGAGTTCTTGAACCGACGACACTAAACTGTCGATTTATAAATGGAAAAATATCCATAGATCATAAATAGAAAATATCTCAGGGAAATGCGTCACGAAGATCAGCTGTTTCAGCTTTATCGTGCCAATTACACGAATTCCTATAACGAAAACTTTTTGAAAATCAGGAACAAACAATTCCAGGATATTTATAACGCCACCTTTGACTCGGAAGACTCGAGTATTAAATAAATGTTGCATAACCTCTCTTTCGTAATCGTAATAATCAGCATTGGAAACAAAAAATTAGCTATTTAGAGAAATTAATCGCGATTATTCACGAAGAGCACGAACGATAACGTTCTCGTCTTTCCCTTGGAAGATTACGAATCGCCTCGATAATACACGATTCCCATAAATAATGCAATGTAAATAATTTTACTGTTGCAGCAAAGGAAGAGACGGACAAATGCAAGAGTGGAGTCATCTTCGCCTCGTGCCTCTTAGAAGAGCTCACAAAGCGGTCCAAGTGATCGTTCAGCACCCAAACCACGAGATAGGAAGCCACGTAGATCGCACATCTGAATTTGCCCTTAGAAAACCACGTACTTCGATGCAACTTCTTTACTCACTGGTTCAGAATTATAACACGATAACTTCTTAGAATTATAACACGGGCAACAAATAAAATGGAAAACAACTGTATTATTTCGATGCTATAATTACATCGATTTCGTAACAGTATTATCTCCGAAGATTCGTGGAAAATCCACGTCGATTTTCGCTTTCCTTCCTAATTTGCGATCCTAAATGCGGATTCGAAGAACTGTCGCGCGTAATTCACGCGAAATATCGGCGATCCGAGGAAGCGTGAATGACTGAACCGTGGATCGCAAACAAATACGCGATTTCCTATTTGCGATTTTTCTATTTGCTATTTATTCTTAATTCAACGTTCTTGACGGATAAGCACCAACACGTTACGCGACCTTTGCCCGCTAGATTTCATTCGGACCGATATAAATGAGGAGAAACCGATCTATCGGAGACAATCGGTGCGATCGTCGCAAAGCTTGGATCGATCGATTTTCGTGTTTCAAAGTCGAGACTTGGTGAAGGTCGGAACCATGAAATACTTCGTGTTCGTACTGTTCGCTTCCTTGGCATTTGTAAGTATTCGCGAACCTGTAAAAAGGAGGCGATAAAACGAGTCAACTCTGAGTTCAGGTTCATTAAAATTCTATCTACTAACGCGTGATATAATTGTGGTTAACCGTGTTAATGTATCGTCGTGCAATGAGGAATCAATATTCTTCACGTCCATATCGAATTAAATTCGTATAACAACGGGAATAAAAATGATAACAAAATTCCTTTCTTTTATAGACTTGTTAACCCAAAATTTAGAAATTAGTTAACCTAACAAAACCTTAGGCCAAACTTATCCGAAAGCTCGAAATTGAATAATAGTTGTAACGTATTTAAAGTAAAAATTTAGAAGGGGGTTGGAATAATTTGGAAATATTTGTATTAAATATTTTATCTAATTACCATGCTTTGTTGGAATATCTTTCATGTCTGAATTTTGGGAACTTGAATTCCAGGCCTTGTAAAATTAGTCAACTTAACAGAGTCTTAGACCTAACCTAATCGAAAGCTCGAAATTGAATAATAATTGTAATGTATTTAAAGTGAAAATTTAGAAGGGGGTTGGAATAATTTGAAAATTTGTTTATTAAATATTTTATCTAATTACCATGCTTTGTTGGAATATCTTTTATGTCTGAATTTTGGGAACTTGAATTCCAGGCCTTGTAAAATTAGTCAACTTAACAGAGTTTTAGACCTAACCTAATCGAAAGCTCGAAATTGAATAATAATTGCAATGTATTTAAAGTGAAAATTTAGAAGGGGGTTGGAATAATTTGAAAATTTGTTTATTAAATATTTTATCTAATTACCATGCTTTGTTGGAATATCTTTTATGTCTGAATTTTGGGAACTTGAATTCCAGGCCTTGTAAAATTAGTCAACAGAGTCTTAGACCTAACCTAATCGAAAGCTCGAAATTGAATAACATTCGAAATAAATAATATTCGTTTTATTCCAGGCTTCTGCCTCACCACGTGGACAAGAAGATGAAATGTACGCATTCTTTGAAGCATTATCCTCATTATTCAGAATCCCTGTGTCAGAGGTTAAGGTCTGCGCTCAAAAATCAGGGTTGTTTTGCGGTAAGGGACATTAATCGCCTAAAATGTTGATTAAACGCCGAATAAATGGGTGGAAATAACGAAAACTCCTATTTGAATCTTTTTCACAGCAACTTTTCCAGCGAGAAACGATATTGTCAGCAACATAATCGAAGGGAAAAACTTAATGAAAGACGAAGGTATAAGAAGAGTTTTTTGTACCATCGCTTGTACCGCTCAAGTGCAAGGAACGGTGAGTAAAAGTGTATTTTGAAATAAAAAACAGGCATAACGTGCTTGTAAATGGGTTAATTAAAAGTAACAGTTATACGAAAGGATCTAAAGGAGCCTGGAATGTAAGAAAAATTCACTCAAGATGAATGGGTGACTATGTCGTATGGTATTGACAATCTCGACGAGAAAAACGGGAATAACAATATATATTTTCTGTTTTATCGTTCATGAAAATATTGCTTTCAGATGATCGGCAACAAGATCAATATGCCATATATAGAGCAGTTAATTGACACCGAGAAAAACTCAGCTCGAATGAAAAACAAGATTAGGTTAATCATGCACGAATGCTTAGAAACAGGTACGTACATCGGTTCTTTGCTTAACCTTTTAATAATACACGTTTAGCTCGATAATCAGAGAATACTATGAACGTCGAAATTATTTTAGATTTTATTTAGATATTTTTCAATTATTTTAGAAATTATTTTAGATTTTATTTAGACATTTTTCAATTATTTTAGAAATTATTTTAGATCTTATTTAGATATTTTTTCAATTATTTTAGAAATTATTTTAGATTTTATTTAAGACATTTTTTCAATTATTTTAGAAATTATTTTAGATTTTATTTGGATATTTTTTTAATTATTTAAGAAATTATTTAGATTATTTAAATTATTCTTATCATTTCGGCACTCTCAACGTCGGAATGATTAAATATCCAAAATTTCTCGAACCTCTTCGGTGTTACAGTGAAAGATCAGGACAGCGAGTGCGAGGTAGCTGCCAAATACACACAGTGCATGATCATAAAATCCACTAAGCAAGAACCAATTTACCACGAGGGACGTGTCCATTGAGGAAGAATATACACAGAAAAAAAGAAAATCGAATTTCTTGATGTCTTTTATCAATAGTACGACAATTGAAGAATATATTTCCAAATTTTCAATGTAATCCTCGAAATATTAAGGGCCCCAGAGCGTGATTATTGCGGGCAAGCATGCGAGTGCGCGGTGTCATCGAGTTTTTCTCGAAACCACCATTTTCAAATTGACGGGAAAAATGTCTGGAAAACTAGGTTACCAATTCACTTGAAATTTTGCATACGTGTACTATTCGATGAACCTAGAAATTAAGAAAAATAAATAATTCAAACCTTTATTGCTAAACCTCTCACGATCAAATTGACAGGAGAATGAAAAAGAATTGGAATCTTAAAAAACTGAAATAACGAGACATATTGGAAAAATGATTATATATATCATGATTATGCAAGTAACAGACAAGAAATTAATTTTTGATAAAAATTTCAAAAAGTGTGATATAGTTCATGCTAGGTTTAGTGTTAAACAACCTAAATATTCACGAAACCATCAATTTTTATGTTCAAAGAGGCCTCATTTTAACGATTCATAACCTTATCGAATTTTTAAAGATTCCTCGATTAATTGCCTTCGTAAAGAGTAAGAAAATTGTTTGAATTCCTATTTTGGTCGAAGAGAGAAGGAAATACAATTTCCACCAAGTTCAAATCCTGTTACACGATTTTATAACTCGATTTTATACTCGATTTTATAACTCGAAATTGCGACATTTTTTAAAACATAGGAAAAATTAATTTTATTCTCCTATAGTTACTTAATAAAACCTCATAGTCTTCGGAATGATGAAATAAATAATTTCGTCGAGAAAAAATTCCCCAAAATACGCGTGCCCCCTTGATTATTTCAAGCTCTCGAAGAATTGCACCGAATAAACAACATGGAACCTAACAACGAGATGAAAAGGAGATTATGCGAGATTAAGAGTGATGGAATCTTGAAGAGTTTAAAGGGATAGCAACGATTGTGCTCCGGATCAAAATGATTTGCGATTCTTCCGAAATAAAGCGCTTCTATCTCCACAATTATGTAGCTCGAATGAATTTCTATGTGCATAGACATCGTGCGTGAACAAAGTCATCGAGATTACTGTAATCGTGGGGACTTACATAAGCTCACTGATGCAACGATCGTTTCAGATAGCTGGAAATATTCAACAGGAATCGAGCTGGAAATTTGACTTGAAAATCGGTGTGAAAAATAAAGAAATGAATTTTATTCTATTAAATAAATTTGTTCTATTCCACCATTGTACCTGTGAACTGTTCGCCACTATTACGAAGACGTTCGAATGTATCCGAAGAGAGAAGGGAAATATTTGGACACGTGTAAACCGTGACTGAATTTTGTGCGATTGAAATTTTGAAAATATTAAAAATATTAAAATATTATAACGAAATTTTCAAAATATTGCATAAATAGAATGTAAAATAGGAGGATAAATAAATAAACGGAATGCTATGGGAAAGATAAACGAAAGAATTTCTAGTTTGATATTGATAATGTACGTAGATGAATAATTGTTGGTGCGATAAGTTCAATTGGAATTAGTATGACGAGTTGCACCGATTAGTGCTCGGAACGATAAGTTCTTCTGCATATTAATTTCTTTGCCAATGTGCTTTGGGAGTTCGTTTGTGTGCACATCGTGACAAACATAATTGCAGTGAACAACTGCGATTTTCACGGAAGCGTTAATTTAAAAACAAATTCGAGTTGGTTAGTGTAATTTCGCATCCGGTTTCATTGTCGATTAGTAGTAATATAGAGGACGTAATAATTGGATATAAAATACATTGTTTACTCGCTTCTCTGCCAACTCTTCTACCAATTTTCGATAAAACTTATTAATTTGTAACGAAACCCAGCTGTTTTGGGGACGACAATATTGATATACACAATTATATCAATATTCGATAAATTCATGAAACCTCCTCCAATTTGTCGTGCAAATTCATTCAAAGATTGATAATTTGTTCGTCGAATACAACCGAATAATTCGTTCAAAAACCTATAAAAATTGAAATGGCCATAGCAATTCAATAAGTATAGATTCTTCCATTTATATAAAATTTTTAGCTCACCACGATATTAATCGAAAATATTAATACAATCAAATAATCCATTTACATATTAAAAAATATATAAATAAATTTTTTGTATGCACAAATTTAATTATCAAGTTATAATAATTAAATGTTTCAATTAAAATTAATTAATTAAAAAATTTCATTAATAATATTTCGGCTATAGCAATTCAATAGGTATGGATTCCTCCATTTATATAAAATTTTTAGCTCACCACGATATTAATCGAAAATATTAATACAATCAAATAATCCATTTACATATTAAAAAATATATAAATAAATTTTTTGTATGCACAAATTTAATTATCAAGTTATAATAATTAAATGTTTCAATTAAAATTAATTAATTAAAAAATTTCATTAATAATATTTCGGCTATAGCAATTCAATAGGTATGGATTCCTCCATTTATATAAAATTTTTAGCTCACCACTATATTAATCGAAAATGTCAATACAATCCAATAATGCATTTATATATTAAAAAATATATAAATAAATTGTTTGTATGCACAAATTTAATTATCAAGTTATAATAATGTAATGTTTCAATTAAAATTAATTAATTAAAAAATTTCATTAATAATATTTTGGTTATCAAGGTAGTAACTTCTATTCCTTTTTTTAATTTTATAGAAAATGAAAATTACTAGCTTGATTTTAATAAAATTTTTTAATTTAATTAATTATACAAATATTCCAAATTTCCTCTCTCTCGGACCTAACCAAACCGATTGATCCAAGCCAAGTATCCAATGGCCACGATAAATCCACAGATCGAACACCTAATCTCGGAAGAACAGAAAAATTTCAAGATAAGTCAAAAAGCGGATAACCCTGACAGCTTCTTGACCTCGTCGTTTTCGTCGCGCACAATTTGCGACGAAGATTCGCTGACTGCTCGGATATTCCGATATCCTTCACCCTTTGACACCTGCAACAACCCTAAGAGAAAAATTACGAGAACACGTTCGATCGTGATTAATTTATCTCATAAGTGATAAATGTTTACAATCTTTCCGAGAAGTTAAATTACGTAAAGCCATTATTATCTGTGACGATAAATCTTCAGCGTGGGGGTTACTTATCAAGTATAAATAGGATATCGAAACGCTGGCCAGGTAGTCGAAGAAACTCTGCCAGGTTCCTCTCACGTAACTATACTCTTCACCTGCGGTACTCTTTGAACACCGGTGACACGAAGAACGCAAACATGAAGACCGCCATTTTACTTTGCACGCTCTGCTTCGCCTCTTTCGCGGTACATCTTCAACTATCTTCGAGTATCACGGTCCAAATTCGACGGTTCCTGTCTTTTACGCGATTTCGCGGTTTTTCCAAAATATTTTAATGCTATGAAGTGTAAATGGAAGGAGATCCGATTAATTCGTAACGTAATTTATGAATTTTGTTAAAGTGCGTTAGAACGTCGCGAAATTCTGTAGATGAAATTCGGGGGTCGTTTTGTGGGATAAAAATTAAACGCGAAGTGGTAAAAATTAATGCGAGGCTGACGTTTAATTGTCTCGATATCCTGTTGCGATTCTTGGATTGTAATGGAAAATTTAAATTCTACTTCGTCACGATTCCTTGCAGTTGGTGAGTGCCGAGGATATGCCCGCTACGTGTATGGCCAAGTTTGGCCTCAGTATTAGTAAGTGCAAGCTAAACGAGGCGTAAGAATATGTTTTGGTTACTCGAATTGATTTCTTCTTTGGCAAGAATATGTTGGATATAATGTATTTATGTGGATATAATATGTAATATATTGGATAAATAATAATCGGGACGTTATTTCGTCAGTGGATCTGCCTGCCTTGATCCAGGACAACAGCGACGAGGGGATAAGGAAACGTGGATGCCTCGAAGCATGCGCCATGCAGAATATGGGTCTGGTATGTACAGTTCTATTTGGTCTAATCGTGATCCACCAAGTATACAGAATTTAGCCTAATAATACAATGATTCTATAATAAATTGAAATTTTAATAAAACGCGGCTTGGAAAATTATTCGGCGAAGGAAAATTTTGATATATTAGGATCCTGAAATTTATAATCCTTTTTCATTCTTTGACGCAGAGAAATTTTGGCAAATTAGGATCACGAAATTTATAATTCTTTTCATTCTATGATGGAGGAAAATTTTGGCAAAATAGGTTCCAGAGAATTATAATTTTTGTAATTCTATGACGACGAGAAATTTTGGCAAATTAGATTTCCGAGAATTTTAATTTTTTTTTTTAATTCTATGACAGCGAGAAATTTTGGCAAATTAGATTCTTGAGAATTCTAATTTTCATTAATTCTTCTTCGAAGGAGAGAAATTTTGGCAAATTAGGATCCCAAAATTTATAATTCTTTTAATTTTTTGACGCACAGAAATTTTGGCAAATTAGGTTCCCGAGAATTCTAATTTTTAGAATTCTTTGACAGCGAGAAATTTTGGCAAATTAGGTTCCGAGAATTCTAAGTTTTGTAATTCATTGACAGCGAGAAATTTTAGCAAATTAGATTCTCGAGAATTCTAATTTTCTTTAATTCTTCTTCGAAGGAGAGAAATTTTGGCAAATTAGGATCCCAAAATTTATAATTCTTTTAATTCTTTGACGCACAGAAATTTTGGCAAATTAGGTTCCCGAGAATTATAATTTTTAGAATTCTTTGACAGCGAGAAATTTTGGTAAATTAGGATCTCAAAATTTATAATTCCTTTAATTCTTTGACGCACAAAAATTTTGGCAAATTAGATTCCCGAGAATTCTAATTTTTGTCATTCTTCCTCTCAAATTATTTCCTTTGTCCACCCATCAAATACATTATACTTCGCTCAGTAGCATTTTGCAATGTTTCCAAAAAATACCGCATAATATTACAATAACGCGAACGTCATAGTATTCCTTTATTCCAGATGAACGGTAACACCATTGACCTAAACAGCCTCGACAGCCAGATAGACAGAATTTTGGGAAACAGTGACAGAAAAGAGACAGTGCGTGATACTGTTCACGAGTGTGCCAATAATGGTACGTGTCACAATGATAAAATCACATTCTCTGCCATCTTATCCTGCATCTTTTACACCTGTTGACTGTTTCCTATCTAGCTGCAGACGCGGACGAGTGCGTGGTTGCCCAGAAGTTCGCCAGGTGTGGCCTGGACCAGCTGAAGCTGAGTGTTCAAGAAACACTGCATAGCGGACAGTAATATGTTGCGACGACTAGGAAAATCCGAAGCAGACCATAGCTGAAACAACGCTAAACAATTTGTGATACGTGTACTTACTTAAATCGACCACAGGAATTGCCAGTAAAACGAAATGCATCTAAACGATCTTGTACCTTCATCTTTCCTAGCCACTCGACGACTCGCTAAATTTTCGCGATCAAGTATAGCAACTACCATACACGAAACAGCACCACTAATCTCTCCTATCTTCTCGAAATAAACCACCAAGCATCTTATCCAACCGTTGACACGAACACTCCGTATCCTCTGCTAATCTCCACCCACGTATAATTAGTGACCAACCATGAGAAGCTTAAATAACAGCAAATTATTTCTGTATCTTGGTCTCCTTATCCAGCTTGATCTGCGAGTGATTTATCCTAATGACTTCGCTGATACCACGAAAATTCCATGTCTTTAATTCGCGTAGCACAATTGGCATGTCGGTACAAGAAACTTAGGCAACGACAAATTGCTTCCCAATTCTTTTAGCTCTTTGCCTTGCCATTTAAGTGACGATGCCCAGTCAACAGCAAAGCTGGTCACACTCGAGCTATTTCATCCTAACTTGACGAAGAATAACACGCAACTGAGACAGGAAAATATTTGCAAAAATTTACCACGAGTCTGAACCAGCCTCAGGATGTTTTCATCAAACCCTATATAGAAACCTTTCAAAGGTGAAACTCGTGTTGGGCTATACGCGCTTACCACGAGCCTGGCGCGATACTGTAGGCAAAGAGGTTAAAGGGAACTACGAAATATTCTAACCACTCATTGACACAACGAATGCTAGCAATGTTTCGTAAATCTTCACTGGTGCTAAATAATTGGTGACTACGAACGTGAAAAATTAGTATAACGACTTCCCACGCGATTTTCCAATTTTTCCGAGCAATTAACACGCGAGTAAACCAACGCGAGATAAAACAGTGGGATTTATCGGAATTTCGAACGTTCTAATTCGTCTTATCTCTTTGGAACACGTTGGAATTAAATGTCCCACCTTTTTGATGCATGATGGGACATTATGCTAGGTCCCACCTAGAAATATTGCAATAGCTGCATGCCCTTAATAAGTTCATATTTCGTCTTATTTGTGTAAAGCAGTTAGTAATACCTTCGACAAATGCTACAAATTTTATAAATTCAATATGCTAGTACAGGTTCATCAATTGTTGCAGGCGGAAGGTTTATTGCGACAATCTTTCTTCCTGGATTTATGTGAAAAACCGTAAAAGTAAGTTAATTTGAATAAAAATTATTTCTATACCGATTTTGTTTCATTTAAAACGCAATAAAATTTCTATGCAGCATGAGTCTATTTTATTATCTAAAATCCTGTGCCATAAAGAGATATAGGAACCACGTCTCCCAAAGGTGGAACTCGTGTTGGACTGTTCGTGCCTATCACGAGCCTGACACGATACTGTAGACGAAGACGTTAAAGAAAATATTCTAACCACTCATTGGCACAACGAATGCTAGCAATGTTTCGTAAATCTTCGCTCGTGCTAAGTAAGTGGTGACTACGTACGTGAAAAACTAGAATAATAACGACTTCCCACGCGATTTTCCAATTTTTCCGAGCAATTAACACGCGAGTAAATCAACGCGAGATCAAACAGTGGGATCTATCGGAATCTCGAATGATCTAGTTCGTCTTATCTCGCCTATTGTATTTCAAAATCCGAATTTTCGAGGTTCCAAAATGGTTCCGCGTGTCTCGATCACTGGAAGCCATTGGATCGTTACTCGACCGGATCTCGAGGCAGAGCCTAGATTGTCCGATGCCTCGATCGTTTCACCTTTAATCCGTGCAATTATTTCCGCTGCTCGCGCGTTATTTTGCTCACAGATAAGCGATTACGCGATCACTCGCGGTCAGGTACATGGACGCCTTCTTTTTCTTCCTCTTCCTCTCTTTTTTCCTCTCTTTTTTCGTTATTACTTAGATCGAAGGTTATATACACGGAATGAAATGATTCAGTGCGATTACCGACCACGCGAGAGTTCTTCTAGAATAGTGATTTCACGGTATTTCAAGATTGAATTACCTCTGCGTCCATTTTTCTCCTTTTTGAAGGAAGAACCGATTCGCGGATAGTTTCGAATAGGGTAATGGCAAGATCTTGCAATTGCCAATTCTTGGATAGACGAATAACGACTTTGGTTATATAAATATTTATAAATATATATAAATATTTGGATATTAAAAAGAGTATTCTTGTAATTCGGATTATAAAAATCGACACATCAGGGATTTTTTTAAAAGGAAACCATGATACATATTGACATGCAGTTTTCGCGATCAGATTTGTTTATACTTAGGGAATATTTACAATATTTTCTTGTTTACGAAGTTAATGAAAATTTTGGAAATTATAGAGCCTTAGGTAAATCGTGTTTTTAAAAACGGACTCCAATGCCTGACGTGATTTCGAATCATCTGGTTATCAGAAACGAAAAAACAAAGAAACATGTTAATCAGTGTAAGTGCGGCTATAGCGTGAACAACCGAAAGAACGAAATTTTGAAAATTAAAAAAATGGCAGCATTTTGAAATTTAAATATCAATTTTCTTTGCGATTTTTGTCCTCTGTGACAAACAAAAATGGAAAAAAAATTTAGATTTCGAAATCCGCGATTCACGAGTTAAAGGTACATCCGGGGAAGATCTCCTCTAAATTTGAAGTCAATCAATCAACTGATACGCGAGATATCCCGTCAGCCAGTGCAGAAAACATGGTTTCGAGAAAAACGCGTCTGAAGTTCTTGTTACCCGTTGTATAAGGCCTGTACGACGTACTTTAAACACCTGTAACTTTGCTAATTTTACGAATTCGAGCAAATCCTTTTACACAGGCATTTTCGAGAGCATGCGCTTTGAGAAAATGTAAAAAAAGAAAAATCGATTTTTTGAAGCAATATTCCCTTAAGAAAATTAAACTAAAAATTTGTTCAAGAAAATTTAAAAAATTTATTCCCCCAGTGACAGTAATACCTCTTTCAAGACATCTACTAAAATCAACGAACTCGAGAAATTAAAACTGTAATAATTCTAATCATGTTATTTCAAAGACAGTTTAACTGCTTAATTCCTACAGTACATAGCAACGTCTTTAAAAAATAAATTTAGTAAAATTCGTTTCCCTTATTAAAAATTTCATCTCGGACAAATTTCCGATCGCTTAAAATTTCGTTGAAAAATTCCAATAAATCAGAAACGTGATAATTCTCAGCGAAACGATTTTATTCCGAAGTCTAAATTTCCACGAGGGTAATATTTTCGTGGGAAATATTTTCGAGGAATTCGAAATTCATCGGAGATGCCTGGCATCGCAACGGAGCTTAAAATCCTCCACGTCGCGGTTTTATCAAGAACAGCATGGGCGCAACAATTTCAATTGGAAGTTCGCTAATCAAAGGAGGCCCTCGGAGATGCGAAGCGCAACGCTGGCCGCAAATGTTTGCGCGCGTCTGCCGTAGCCAGCCGGAATACGCGATTCGACATAAATGAAATTACAAAGTCAAATGCAGATTGGGGAACGCGCGTCGGATAAAGCCACTTAATGCAAACGACCGTCGTCAAAACGGCTAAACCTTTTGTTTAACACGCCCCGAATTAACTGGGACCAGCAACGCCACTCGATCATTCGAATCGCCCACCCTCTGGCCCACCAGCCACTTGCTATACTTTCCAACACGGCCAGCCATTCTGAATAATATCCCCATTTAGCGTGGCATTATTCCGTTTCGCGATTAGGCTTCAACCCATTCGCATCGCAAAGAATAATGAAAAATATTCTCCCATTAATGAAATATAACAACCGGATATTAAACACCTGTTCTTTATGAGCATTGCATCTTCCTCACTCGACCACCCATTCCCATGACAATGACGAAAAATATTCTCTTGTCAAAAATTTGTTGTACTATATTCGATATCTAGATATTGTAAAGATGGAATTGGTAATTATTTATTAATGATAAATTAACAATGTGCGAGTGACGATTAACACTAGAACTACCGATCTTTAGTGGGCATCTAACTATAACGTGCACAGATTATAGTAATATGCAGCGGTACGATGAATATGACTGAATATATTGATTACAGTTCTTTCTTAATATGAGTTCTTACCAATTTTATTCTTAAAACAGGTGTATGTGTTCGGTGATTGCAAAAAGGAAAGTTGCGAGACCAGTCATTTTCACTGGGTTAGCAGTTCTAGTGTTAAACGCACGAATTGTCTCTTTACACGAATCTATATCGATTCCCAACTTAACAACGTAATGAAAACTCGGCCTGCGACAACTAACTGCTCACGATTAAAAATTTGAAACCATTTCGACCCCCTTGGTAGCTCTACTGTTAAAAACGAATGAAATGGTGACTTCGATGAACTATTTCATTCAAATCCTCGAGGCAATTATCATTGATCTCGTCTCCTTGGAAAGGACATTCGACCATTTTCCTAGATTTATGAAGTCCCAAGATCCCAAGAAACGACGGCGGGGTAGAAATGGTAAAAGCTGTCTCCGAAACTGTTCTATTCCCATAAAGTACGGTTAGAAGCAGCGACGAACGAAGCGTGTACCCCGTACCACGATGCTCCATCAGGCTCGGCAAACCAGCAAGTCGAAAGAGTATACGTGGAGCAGTCTCGATAAAGTATTCGCGAGATAGAAATAGGTCTCGCCATTTCGATCAATCTTGCTTAAGACGCGATCCCTTTCGCCGAAATAACCTGAAAATCAGTTTAGATCCCGTTGAGACCTAGTGTTTAGCCCTTAGTCCGCGTCGCACGAAGTGACGGATAACTCTGTTACTATAATTCAATCGACTTGTCTGGCTCTATAAAGGCTTCCAGCCATAGGCGTACGTAGATACGTGCACACGCGCGAGATATCGCGATATGTGCACAGAGGCGGGCAGAGCGAGAGAGAGAGAGAGAGAGAGAGAGAGAGAGAGAGAGAGAGAGAGAGAGAGGAGCAGGGACGTATCGGAGAAGAATACGGGTGGAAACGATAGCTTGCTTTATAATCGAGTTTACACTCGACGACGACGTCGCGGACGTCGCATACTTATGTCGCGACGC